TTGAAAAAATATTCTTTAAAAATCCACGCCTTTGAGGTTTTAGAGCCTTGAAAAAATATTATTTAAAAATCCAGGCCTTTGAAGTTTTAGAGCCTTTAAAAAATATTCTTTAAAAATCCAGTCCTTTGAGGTTTTAGAGCCTTGAAAAAATATTCTTTAAAAATCCAGGCCTTTGAGGTTTTAGAGCCTTAAAAAAATATTCTTTAAAAATCCACGCCTTTGGGGTTTTAGAGCCTTGAAAAAATATTCTTTAAAAATCCACGCCTTAGAGGTTTTAGAGCCTTGAAAAAATATTCTTTAAAAATCCACGCCTTTGGGGCTTTAGAGCCTTGAAAAAATATTCTTTAAAAATCCACGCCTTTGGGGCTTTAGAGCCTTGAAAAAATATTCTTTAAAAATCCAGGCCTTTGGGGCTTTAGAGCCTTGAAAAAATATTCTTTAAAAATCCACGCCTTTGGGGCTTTAGAGCCTTGAAAAAATATTCTTTAAAAATCCACGCCTTTGGGGCTTTAGAGCCTTGAAAAAATATTCTTTAAAAATCCACGCCTTTGGGGCTTTAGAGCCTTGAAAAAATATTCTTTAAAAATCCAGGCCTTGAAAAAATATTCTTTAAAAATCCAGGCCTTGAAAAAATATTCTTTAAAAATCCAGGCCTTTGAGGTTTTAGAGCCTTGAAAAAATATTCTTTAAAAATCCACGCCTTTGAGGTTTTAGAGCCTTGAAAAAATATTCTTTAAAAATCCACGCCTTTGAGATTTTAGAGCCTTGAAAAAATATTCTTTAAAAATCCAGGCCTTTGAGGTTTTAGAGCCTTGAAAAAATATTCTTTAAAAATCCACGCCTTTGAGGTTTTAGAGCCTTGAAAAAATATTCTTTAAAAATCCACGCCTTTGAGGTTTTAGAGCCTTGAAAAAATATTGTTTAAAAATCTACGCATGTAGACCTTCAGAGCCTTCAAAAACTATTCTTTAAAAATGCACGCCTGTAGACCTTCAAAGCCTTGAAAAACTATTCTTTAAAAATCCACGCCTGTAGACCTGCAGAGCATTGAAAAAATATTCTTTAAAAATCCACGTCTTTAGACCTTCAGAGCATTGAAAAAATATTCTTTAAAAATCCACACATTTTTTAAAAAAATATTTTTTTCATTTAATTTCCAAAAACTTACCCGATTCAACAAATCAAATTGCTGCCCGAAACGCATTGCAAACGAAACATTCAACACCACAACACTCAAAATAAAGACATGCGGCACAAAGAACGCTCCCACCGCCTGGAAGGATGGCCATATTTGATTGTGGAATAATATCCACATACAACTGGTCATGTAGCTGCCACACACCGCGACCATCATTGCCACTTTGGTATGACGAAATTTCATTATATAACGATATTTAAATTCAACACCCAAATTTCGAAAACGACAATCAATTTGGGCCACTGTCTGGTACATTCTCACCAAATCCCGACTATTACGTAAACTCATACCGAACAGGATCAACATTCCCGTCAGACCAATAAATTTCTGTAGAATATCTCCCACCTTGGAAATTTCCGTTTTGAAAAAGAACCCTACAATGGATTCTTGTAAGAGAAAGGAATGCAAGAAACAATAGGCAAAGAAGGTGCCCTGTAGGAGGGTTATGATTAGGCCCAAACGTGATATGTAAATCCGTCGGTTTCCACAGGTGCCTTCAATGCGTAATGGTGTTAGACCCAACACGAATGTTACAAATAGTAGAGTTTTCTCTGCAGCATATGTGTCCTGCGGATTCAGGAAGTCTACCCAGAAAGACATTATCGATGATTACCGTTTAACAGGGCTTTAAAAATACTACACATATAAGGAAGGAAATCAATTGCCTTTTATAGTTTTTCCTTGCGAAAAATCAAGTCTAGTTGTGATTGGCATTTTCTATTAAAAATAATTGGCTTTATTATTTTCCTCATTTAAAGATTAATTGACATTTCATATTGGTTCTACTCATCAAATTTTCAGAAAAACATGATTTTCCCCATCCATATTACGTTGGCAGGGTGATGATAATAAACCATTGTGTGCATTAGTAGAGTTTGTCAAATTTATTTTTCGGCCATCACAAAAAAAAAATCAAACCAATAATCTCTTAAATCGCCCCCACCAAAATCGCCCATGGTCAAAAAAAATGATTTTTACCATGAGTGTATAACACGAATAATGTAAGTATGTGTGTGTGTATACAAGGACCTTTCCAGGAATCCATAATAAATCTAGAAAACCTCTGAGTATTTCAAAATGATGATAAAATGACAGGAACACACACATACACAAATATCAATAGTTCGGATGAACAAACTTTAAATTTTAGTTATGTGGATATTAAATAGATTTTTGATTTTTATAAAAAATGAAAAAAAAAATTGTGAAGATGAATTGGTCATTAATATTTTAATTTAAAAAGGCCCCTGTCTATCATTTTACAGAATTATATTAATAAGCTGACGTAGTGAAATGTTTGTATGTACATATTTTACAAATTTCCAAATTGAAGAAGTATTCAGTGTGGAGTACCGATGGATACCGGCTTCTAATTCCAGCAGATGATATTTCCATCCCTCCTCCCGAATGAAATGCATCTGAAGCTCTCCAACATTATTATAACAACCTTGACCACTTGATAATAACATAATTTGAATGGATGTTAATAACGCCACCTATAGAAAAATGACAACACTAAGTAAGCAAGGACCCCAACCATTGACAATTGTAGAGGGCGTTGGTTCTAAGCAACTATAAATGGCAAATCTAAGACATAAGTCGTACTATGTCTACAGCAGATTAATAATATACTTAGCTGGAATATAGAAACACAAGGAATTTTATGACAATGCATGTGACATACGAAATAGAACATGCAATGGAATATTCCAACTGATAGTAAAGCATCAACATATGCACAGCTAGAATAGGAAATGGCATCGTATTAAATCTGTAAATTAAACGACATGAAATTACGATAACACAATAGGAATGATAGGAGAAGGCGATACATAAAGGAAACTCGCAACACTAAATAAGTAAGGAACCATTGCATAATGTTTATTGAAATTTGCTTCTAGGCAACAATAGATGGCAACCCCCCAGAACCTGGGACTGGCTACAGGAAATTAATCATTTAAGCAAGATTAACAAAAAAAATGATTTTATGGCAATGACCATTGACACACAAAAAAGGTTGCGCAATGGAATGTTCGAACTCTTAGTGAAGCATGAAGACTTGCAAAAAGAATCATATAAAATCGAAGTCTTAGGTGTAAGTGAAATGAAATGGAATAACGATAACACAATAGGAATGACAGGAGATAGCGCCATTCGGAGTAAAATGACAACATTAAATAAGCAAGTACAACAACCATTAAAAAATTCAAGAGGGCGTTGCTTCTGGGCATTTACTTAGCTGGACGACCAAGAAACACCTGACGACAAACATTGATCGGAAAACTAAGATAAAATATCCTTACATGGAAATATGCAAAATCAATGGCGACTAATAGATGGCGATGCTTTGTGGATGCTCTGTGATACCAAGAAATGTAGGGGGGAAAACTAATACGATTATTTTTATTTTTAAGCGGCTATAAAGAAATCTTTTTTTGCAAGGATCTTAAGGTTCTTAAGGATCATAGGCGTGCATTATTTACAGACATATTTTTCAAGGTTCTGAATGAGGCATGGATTATTCAATGAAATATTTGTTTCAAAGCTCTGAAGGACCTTAGGCAGTCATAGATTTTTTAAGAATAATTTTTTCAAAGTTCTGAAGGAGGCCAGGATTTTTAAAGATATTTTTCAGTTCTCTGAATGAGGTTTGTTTCTATAACATTTTTTTAGGGCTGTGAATGAGGCGTGGATTTTTATACCCTACACAACTATGTTGTCAGGATATTATAGCTTTGTGCAGCCCCAAGAGTTTGTAATGCCTCGAAATATTGCTCCTAGACCCACCACTGAAGACCCCTATTTTTGGTAAAGATCGGTTAATATTTAGGGGATGAAATGGACCAAATACATACTTTTTGTCGGTTTTTCTAGCGAAATTTTACTAGGAGAAGGGGATCAGGCTAAATAATAAGTATGCCTGTTTTCATAAAGATCGGTTAATATTTGGCGGGTCAAATAGACCCTGGCTTTGTGTTCTATAGCGTATACTCCTGAAGGACATAGACCCGAGAAGTTGACAGTATATCCAAAAGGATTTATTGACCTTTATATTGAAACCAAATATATTGTCGTAATGACTCAGATGTGATATTTATAGGTACTTATGCACTCAAATATTAATTAGAAGGGCAGTACTGAAGTAGTGAGTTCCGTGGTAGTTGTGTAGGGTATCGTATGGTCGGCCCCGTCCGACTATACTGCTCCGCTCACTGGTTTAAAAATATTTTTTCAAGGCAGGAGTTGATTTAAAAAAAAAAATAATCAAGGCTCTGAAGGAGAATAGGCAGGCGTGAATTTTTTAAAATTCATTTTCAAGGTTCTGAAGGACCTTCGGCGGGAGTCGATTATTAAAAAGTTATATATTTCAAGGCTCTGAAGGAACTTTGGCGAGTGTGTAATCTTTTAAAATATTTTGTCAAGGCTCTGAAGGATATTAGACGCGATTTCTTATTATTGAACAAATAATAAAAAATCTGAAACGCCATAGGAGTGCATTCTTTAAATTATTTTTTAATGCTTTAAAGGACCATAGACCACTATTTTAACTATTTTTTCAAGGCCTTGAAAGACCTTAGTCAAGCGTTGATTTTTTAAAAAAAATATTTCTTCAAGGTTGTAAAGGTACTTTATATATTCCACTGTTTTAATTCCTCAGGGCTATAATCTCTACTTTTTAAGAGTCAAATTCTGATTATTTAGAGAGTTTTGTTTTTTGTATATGTGGTCAGAATTAATCTTTTTATTTTATTTTTTATTTACACACGAAAAAATCTATATCACACCGTGACTTCTCACTCACCTGATGCATCATATTGTAACGCATTTCAATCATTCGTGTAAAACAGGAAAACATTGACACAGCAAACAGCACCACGGTGTGTTGCAAGATAAACGTAACATGCAACGACCACGATGGTGCTTCATTGATTTTCTTCAACAGGCGAAAACTACCTATCGTATAGGTCAAATTCGCCGTGACCATTGTCAGAATATAAATATAACTAAAACGTAAAATTTTACTATACATTATTTTGATGCCCATGTCACGTAGAAGATAATCCATATCCTGCATTGCTGCCATGCTGCGCTGGACATAATATTTCGGTATGATCGCTGTCAAATAGATGACCATGACACCCAGAAATCCACTAAGAATTTGCATGAAATCTCCAAAATGTGATATGTGGGAACTGAAAAAGTATCCAGCCACCGTTTCGAAATCATTTAGCAGGGTCAGGGTGTAACAGGCCCCGTAGACGACAATGTGAAGGGCCACATTGACATAACCCCAGGCCGATTGTTTCATACGCTTATGGCCATGCGAATCACTGTGGATATAGAAGGGCACCAGACCATGACAGTAGAGAAGGAAAAATAACGGCTGCAGACATTCGAACAACTGTTTGGCCGAGAAAAATCTACGTATCCGACCGATAACCGGATGTTCCAGATGGGTATTTTCTTTCAACTCAACATCCATTCCGTTCGAAGTTTAAATGAAAACTGACCACTTGTTGGTCGAAAGGAAGGAAGTGCTACTAAATTTTTGCAGTTCATCATACTTCCTGGCTGCCATCCTTCCTTATTGAAGGCTATAAAAATATAAGAAAACTGTCTACTTTGTTTCAGTTTTTTTCTTTTCTCGTCCTAATTTCGATGAACCTGTTGACTGTGTGTATTCTGGCCATGTAGGTCGTGGGGTTGGTAAGTGGAACTTTGCGTGTGTTTCCTATAATCAAGGGAATGATGGTGGTTTGCTGGTGTCATTGTAGGTGGTGGTTGGCTGTCGGTCATTTGTTTTATTGAAATTACGCGACACTTGGATAAATATTTAATCACACTCAATGTGCGATGTATGTACGCTGTGTCGCAGCACTAGACATGGATAGTCTGGACACGCTACTCTCCATTCCTTCTCTTGCCATTGCTTGCCGATTATATTTATCCAGGTAATTAGCCTTTATTTAGACGACAATACATCAACAATGGCACAGGGTGGGAGTTGCCTTTTGTAAGCATAATACCTGATTAACTTATCCCCCTCTTGAGAATTGTCGCGAATGGTTGAGAAGGGGGGTATATGCAAACAAAGTAGTTTCGGAGATGATGAATGGGTTAGATGCTAATTGTTATTTATGGAATACAAAAGTTCGTATTTGATTGGATTGGAATAGCCTCTGTGAAGTCTCGCCCCATCGAAAAAAATAATGAAATAATTTATTGTTTTATAAAGTTTTTGGTATTTTGTTTCCAACTTTTAATATATATATATTTTAGGGTGTAGGTCAAAGGTTAATTTGTTATAATTTATGAAATTGATTCCTTTCAATTAAGGATAATTAGGGTACTGAGGAAAAAACATTTTTAAGAGCAGAGAATGAGGCGTGGATTTATTAACAATATTTTTTCAGGGCTCTGAAAAACCTTAAGCAGGCGAAGATTTTTTAAAAAAATATTTTTTCAATGCTCTGAGAGACCTTAAGCAGAATATTTTTTCAACGCTCTGAAGGTCTACAGGCGTGGATTTTTAAAGAATATTTTTTCAACGCTCTGAAGGTCTACAGGCGTGGATTTTTAAAGAATATTTTTTCAACGCTCTGAAGGTCTACAGGCGGGGATTTTTAAAGAATATTTTTTCAAGGCTCTGAAGGTCTACAGGCGTAGATTTTTAAAGAATATTTTTTCAACGCTCTGAAGGTCTACAGGCGTGGATTTTTAAAGAATATTTTTTTAACGCTCTGAAGGTCTACAGGCGGGGATTTTTAAAGAATATTTTTTCAACGCTCTGAAGGTCTACAGGCGTAGATTTTTAAAGAATATTTTTTCAACACTCTGAATGTCTACTGGCTAAAAAATAATAATACTAAATACTAAAAAATATTTTTTCAATGCTCTGAGAGACCTTAAGCAGAATATTTTTTCAACGCTCTGAAGGTCTACAGGCGTGGATTTTTAAAGAATATTTTTTCAATGCTCTGAAGGTCTACAGGCGTGGATTTTTAAAGAATTTTTTTCAATGCTCTGAAGGTCTACAGGCGTGGATTTTTAAAGAATATTTTTTCAATGCTCTGAAGGTCTACAGGCGTGGATTTTTAAAGAATTTTTTTCAATGCTCTGAAGGTCTACAGGCGTGGATTTTTAAAGAATTTTTTTTCAATGCTCTGAAGGTCTACAGGCGTGGATTTTTAAAGAATAGTTTTTCAAGGCTCTGAAGGTCTACAGGCGTGGATTTTTAAAGAATTTTCAAGGCCACTCTGAAGGTCTACAGGCGTGGATTTTTAAAGAATTTTCAAGGCTCTGAAGGTCTACAGGCGTGGATTTTTAAAGAATTTTCAAGGCTCTGAAGGTCTACAGGCGTGGATTTTTAAAGAATTTTCAAGGCTCTGAAGGTCTACAGGCGTGGATTTTTAAAGAATTTTCAAGGCTCTGAAGGTCTACAGGTGTGGATTTTTAAAGAATTTTCAAGGCTCTGAAGGTCTACAGGCGTGGATTTGTAAAGAATATTTTTATGGAGATCATCAAGGCCTGAGGCGTGGATTTGTAAAGAATATTTTTATGGAGATCATCAAGGCCTGAGGCGTGGATTTGTAAAGAATATTTTTTTCAAGGCTCTGAAGGTCTACAGGCGTGGATTTGTAAAGAATATTTTTTTCAAGGCTCTGAAGCTTAGGCGTGGAAAATTAAAAAAAAATTGTAGGCTCTGAAGGAGCTTAGGCGTGGAAAATTAAAAAAAAAATTTAGGCTCTGAAGGAGCTTAGGAGTGGAAACTTAAAAAAAAAATTCTAGGCTCTGAAGGACCTTGGGCAGGCGTGGATTTTTAAATATTTTTTCAATGCTCTGAAGGACCTTGGGCAGGCGTGGATTTTTTTAAAAATATTTTTCAAGGCTCTGAAGGACCTTATACAGGCGTGGATTTTTTAAATATTTTTTCAAGGCTCTGAAGGACCTTAGCCTTGGATTTAAAAAAAATCAAGGCTCTGAAGGACCTTAGCCTTGGATTTAAAAAAAATCAAGGCTCCGAAGGATCTTAGGCTTGGATTTAAAAAAAAATCAAGGCCTTAGGCTTGGATTAAAAAAAAATCAAGGCTCTGAAGGACCTTAGGCGTGGAAATTTAAAAAAAAAATCTAGGCTCTGGAGGACCTTAGGCTTGGAAAACTTAAAAAAAAAATTCCTAGGCTCTGAAGGACCTTAGGCTTGAAAAACTTTAAAAAACAAATTAATCAAATTCACATATTTTTAGAGACTTCCGCGTATCCATATATTTTTTCTTAATATTTTTTAAATCCAATTTTTTTTGTCAAAAATATCATAATTGCTTACCTTTTGCATCATATGTAACCGCATAACCAGCATTCGGGTAAAACAGCCGAACACAGTCACAACATACAACACCACGGTGTGTTGCATGACAAAGGTGACATGTAGCGAAAATGAAGGTACCCGTTCACCCGATCTCAAGATGAAAATACAACCAATTGTATAACACAGATTTGACAAAATCATCGTAGTTAAAAACAAATAATTAAAACGGAGAATTCTCGTAAAAAGTATCTTAACACCCAACTCACGTAACTGCTCATCCATATACTGGATAATGGCCAAGCTGTGTTGGACATATTGTTTGGGCAGGATGGCCGAGAGATATATCACCGTGACGCCCAAGAAGCCACTAAGTATTTGCATGAAATCACCAAAGAACGAAATATCCGTTTTAAAGAAATGTCCAGCCACCGTTTCGTGGTCATTCATCAGTGTTATTATGTAGCATGCACCATAGACGATAATGTGGCCACCAACATTGATGTAACCCCAAATTGATTCTTTCAATTCGTTTTTACCATTTTTATCACGGGCTATATAGAAGGGACACAAGCCGTGCCAATACAACAGAAACATCAGAGGCTGTATGCAATCGTACAACTGCGTGGCCGAGAACAGGCGACGAAATCGACCTTTGACGGGATTTTCCAGTGGCACTCTTTCGACAACTTCTTCGGTGTCCATTATGGCGGAGGTTTAGCGTTCAACTAAAGGATAAATTTACATGTCACGATACTCATCGGTATTGAAATGAGAATTGGTTCTTCCTGCGGGGTGACCTGTTGATAACTTTATTGCCATTGACTTTTATTAATGGGAGTAGGCGGGCTGGTTGACGGGTTGGTTAGTTAGTTAGTTCCTAACTCGCTGTAGTGACAATCACAATGACCAATGTTATGTTCTTCTTGTCGTCGACGTCCTTACTTTTAATTGCTTTAATACCCAGGATAAATATTTAATAACACACATTCGAATATAAATGGCATGTCCTATGGATGATCTGTCACTTCGTTTGGCGGGTAATAAACTAGATGACTATTATTTGCTCATCCATTTCGTTCGTTGTGTGGCAATTAAAGTTGTCCGAAGCTATCATGAAATTAGACATTATTGCTTCGTTAGAAAGACGGACAGTTTTCGAAATGCCAAACAATCAGAATAACATTTGACTCGGAATCTCGGAATAAGGTGATAGATTGTACATGTTTATAAAGAACTTGAAAAAAAGATACCTACCTAAGGTTATTGAAAAAATAATCTAAAAAATGCATGCCTTCATTGGAGCTTTAAAAAAATAATTTTTTAAACCAGTCAGGAAAGTAGTAAAGTCGGACGGGCCGACTATATGATACCCTTCACCACTTTGGGTATATTCAACAGATGAATCCTAACAGACGTCGCATTTTTAAAGAAACAGTAAAATGAAATTGGATCCATAAACATGTCATTCTGCAGCCGATACTAAATTTTTCATTTGGTCAGATATAGAAGCTATATAAAAAACGATTTCAGGAAACTTAACACACATCATTCTAGACCTAATTCATTAAAAAAATTTCGTGCAAGCCGAAGGATATTAATGGACTTTGGTGCACCTTACATAAAAGACGAAAATATATATTTTTTTTTAAATTTTTCCCAACATAGGGTTCGTCCTTGTGTCAAATAAGTGAGCTATGCCGAATTTCATGCAAATGTATCATAAAGAATGTTTTTTTTTAAATCCACACCTTTTTCATAAAGTGAGAGCATATTCCTTTTGCCTGTTATAAACATATGCACAAAGATATAATGTCCTGTACCACAGTGTGGTTAAGGGTATAAAAATCCACGCCTTGTTCATAGCCTTGAAAGAATATTTTTAAAAAAATCCACGCCTTGTTCTGAGCCTTGAAAGAATATTTTTTAAAAAATCCACGCCTTGTTCTGAGCCTTGAAAGAATATTTTTTAAAAAATCCACGCCTTGTTCTGAGCCTTGAAAGAATATTTTTTAAAAAATCCACGCCTTGTTCTGAGCCTTGAAAGAATATTTTTTAAAAAATCCACGCCTTGTTCTGAGCCTTGAAAGAATATATTTTAAAAAATCCACGCTTTGTTCTGAGCCTTGAAAGAATATTTTTTAAAAAATCCACGCCTTGTTCAGAACCTTGACAGAATATTTTTTTTTAACAAAAATCCACGCCTTGAATATTTTGTTTAAAAAATCCAGGCCTTCACTAGAGCCGAACTTCAAAAAAAAATTTTTTTTTAAAAACTCCACGCCTTCTTTAGAGCCGAACCTCGAAAAAAATATTTTTAAAAAATCCACGCCTTCTTTGGAGCCGAACCTCGAAAAAATATTTTTAAAAAATCCACGCCTTCTTTAGAGCCTTCAAAAACACTGTATAATATTTTTTAAAAAAATCCAAGCCTTCTCTAGAGTCTAAAATCGGAAAAAATATTTTTAAAAAATCCAAGCCTTCTTTAGAGTCTAAAATCGGAAAAAATATTTTTGAAAAATCCACGCCTTCTTTAGAGCCTTCAAAAACACTGTATAATATTTTTTAAAAAAATCCACGCCTTCTTTAGAGTCTAAAATCGGAAAAAATATTTTTAAAAAATCCACGCCTTCTTTAGAGCCTTCAAAAACACTGTATAATATTTTTTAAAAAAATCCAAGCCTTCTCTAGAGTCTAAAATCGGAAAAAATATTTTTAAAAAATCCAAGCCTTCTTTAGAGTCTAAAATCGGAAAAAATATTTTTAAAAAATCCACGCCTTCTTTAAAGCCTAACATCGGATAAAAATATTTTTGAAAAATCCACGCCTTCTTCAGAGCCGAATATGGAAAAAAAAATTTTTTAAGAAATCCACGCCTTCTTTAAATCCTAACATCGGATAAAAATATTTTTTAAGAAAGCCACGCCTTCTTTAAATCCTAACATCGGATAAAAATATTTTTAAAAAATCCACGCCTTTTTTAAAGCCTAACATCGGATAAAAATATTTTTAAAAAATCCACGCATTCTTCAGATCCGAATATGGAAAAAATATTTTTTAAGAAATCCACGTCTTCTTTAGAGCTGAACCTCGAAAAAAAAATTTTAAAACCCACGCCTTCTTTAGAGCCGAACCTCAAAAAACATATTTTTAAAAAATCCACGGCTTCTTCAGAGCCGAATATGGAAAAAATATTTTTTAAGAAATCCACGCCATTAGAGCTGAACCTCGAAAAAAAAATTAAAACCCACGCCTTCTTTAGAACCGAACCTCAAAAAAAATATTTTTAAAAAATCCACGCCTTCTTTAGAGCCGAACCTCGAAAAAATATTTTTATAAAATCTACGCCTTCTTTACAGTCTTGAAAAAAATATTTTTGAAAAATCAACGTCTTCAAAATCCACGCCTAAACATTTAATTCCAAAAAATAAATTTCTAGAATTCCATCTCTAATATTTGGCTCCATTTTGTCGCGCCTGTTACTGTGGTGCGTGTATATCCAGAACTTTCAGTTATAAAAACCTAATGACTAATTAAGGCGTTCAATAATAAAGTTATTTTGAAAAGTTTGGAATTCCATTTTATTACTAACCAACACTTTATTGTTTTTTACACAGTGGTGTTAAAACGTCCTCCCAATTATTATTTTTTTTTTAATATTTAAAGTGTTTTAAATTTTGATTATTTTTTAATGATGTGGTAATATTAGAAGGGTAGTATATATGTGTGTGTGTGTGTGGGTGGAAAAAATTTAATATACAATCAACCTGGTTAAAATGGTCAGAAACTATAATTAGTTACAACGTAAAAGATTCGTCGATTTTCAAATTTAAATATCATTATTAGGGAGTATTATTTTAAATTTTAAGTGAAATTCATTATAACCAAGTTTCACTGTATTTTTTTCAATTACATTACACCTACCTTATTGACAATCACCAAACGTCGCTCAAAACTTCTTGCCACAAAACAGAACAAACAAATCGCTATGGACAGCACAGAATGTTGCAGGAAAAACGTTACACAAACACTAAAGGATGGCGTGATGCCCAGCGATTTCAACAGATGCAACACTCCCGCAAAATAACATCCGATCACCAACATTTTGAAAATTATCATTACAATCGAAAAGCGATAGATTCGCGAATATTTCACTCGAATGCCAATATTGGCAAAATTCTCATCCAAATTAAAAAGAATTTCACAGACCCGTAACAGCTTCCGTCGCTGAGTCACCGCCGATATATAAATAACAGCCCCCGTAATCAGGCCATTACAAATTTGTAAAGTATTTCCAACATTTGAGATTTTCGTGCGAAAGAAATAACCGACCACAGTTTCATCCTGCAGCAGCGAGACAATATAACACGCCCCATACAACAGGATATACAGCGCGATATTTATAAAACCGAAAAAGGACATTTGTACCGTGGTTACACCTTTATTGTTTTTCGCCACCCGGAATGGTGTCAAACCATACAGGAAGGTGATAAGAAATAACGGTTGTAGAGCTTCGAATACTTGATGGGAGATAAAACACTGACGCAAACGTTCCAAACGAGATGCAGATTTAATCATTTTTGTTAAAATTTTTCAATTTTCCGATTTCAATGGCTGTCGTTTTTTTATTAAAATTAAACGATCCTTAACGAAAGAGTTATAAATTAATACTGAATCGCTGATGTGTGCCAGGATATGTATAGGGGGTAATGTTGCTGCTGCGGCTAGCGAACAACATGTTACCCACTAGCTGGTGTTATATGCCAATTATAAAACATATCACAATACATCATCATCAATATCGTCATCATGATGATGATGACGGTGATAATGATTATTATCGTGAACATAGTAGGGTTGCCATAATGGTCGGTTTTAAAAAAGGCCAGATTTTTGAAATATGTGTTCAAGGCTCAGTAGGACCATAGACGTGGATTTATATATTCCACGGACGTAAATACAACGTGGATTTTTTAAAAAAGTTTTGAATACCCTAAAGAGTCTGTGAATTTTTTAAAAATATTTTTTCAGGGCTCTGAAGGAGGCGTAGATTTTTTAAAAATATTTTTCAGGGCTCTGAAGGAGAGGTGCGTTTAAAAAATATATATTTTTTCGAGGCTCTAAAGAAGGCGTGGATTTCTTAAAAAAAACTTTCGAGGCTCTAAAAAAGGCGCTGATTTCTTAAAAAATAATTTTTCGAGGCTCTAAAGAAGGCGTGGATTTTTTAAAAAACAACTTTCGAGGCTCTGAACATGGCCTTAGTCAAGCTAGGTCCTTTTAAAAATATTAATTCAAGGACCGCTGCCTATGATCCTGTGTTATTTTTTTTTAACATATTTGTTAAAGGGCCTTAGGCACCCTTGGAGTATTTAAAAAAATGTTTTTCCAGGAAGCCGTGTTTTTTTAATATATTTGATACTCAAGAAAATCCTAAAGCGGCAACCCTACAATACAACATCATTCCCGACACTATATTATTGGCAACATCCTGGACATGCCACTTAGCCACTCTAACTGTCAACACCTGGCTGTAACTATCGATGTATGTGTGTCCACAAAAATCTATAGTTAGTCATATTCGAAGGTATTCAAAGCAAAAAAATGATAGAATCATCTTTGGTTAATTTAAAGCAACAACAACAAATTGTTCGGTTTCCAAATAAACCAACAATTTGAATAAATTTCCTTTTTCCCCCTGTCTAGGGTATGGTGTATGTGTGTCTCCCCCCATCACAAGGGAAATAATAAGGCATGGGTGCGTATGAGTGTGCATGAGTGTGTGTGTTCGTGTGAAAAATATGTTGATTTTGTGACCGGCCTCGTCGTCATCACACACAACTATCTTCGCAATACGGTGTTATTGTCATCGCTTTATTTGTTTGTTTTCAAAACAGTCGGGCTATTCTATTTTGGTTCTCCGGTCTCCGAATTCTCGTGGTCAAACAATTTATTGCGCAACTCCACCGTCAGGTGTTGCTTTTTTCGAATGTCTGTTTGTTTGACTGTCGGCCCATCATCGTAGATATGCAGGTTTTGTGGCTTTCGTTGTTGCTATTCATTTATTTTGGAAATATGATCCTTTTTTATCTAAGGTCCTTAGCACAGGTATCGTTGCTTGCAACACTAAGCGACAATGTAAGGCTGTTAGGTGGCGAGGAGGAAATAATATAAATAAATAAATATAAATAAATATAAATAATAAAAATAATACATTAAGGTGAAGCGAATGGGGTTCGCGGGCTTGGATTATTTAAAGAAATAATTTTTAAGGCTCTGAAGGACTATAGGGCTGTAATAATTAATAAAATGGTTCTGAAGGACAATGGAAGTGGATTAATTAGAAATAAAAGGACCATAGGCGTGGATTATTAAAAGAAAATATTTTCAAGGCTCTGGTGGACGATATGGATGGATTATTAAATTAGAAAATATTTTTCAAGGACCATAGGCTGGGATTTTTTTAAAGAGAATATTTTTCAAGGAGCATAGGCCTGGATAATTTTTCAAGGCTTTGAAGAAGGCGTGGATTTTTTAAAGGCTCTGGCATAGGCGTGGATATTTTTCAAGGCTCAGAAGAAGGCGTGGATTTTTTTCAAGGCCCTGAAGAAGGCGTGGATTTTTTCAAGGCTCTGCTAAGGCGTGGATTTTTTTCAAGGCCCTGAAGAAGGCGTGGATTTTTTCAAGGCTCTGCTAAGGCATGGATTTTTCTTCAAGGCTCTGAAGAAGGCGTGGATTTTTTCAAGGCTCTGAAGAAGGCATGGATTTTTTTTCAAGGACCATAAGCTGGGATTTTTTTAAAGTAAATATTTTTCAAGGAGCATAGGCGTAGATTTTTTTCAAGGCCCTGAAGAAGGCGTGGATTTTTTCAAGGCTCTGCAGAAGGCATGGATTTTTCTTCAAGGCTCTGAAGAAGGCGTGGACTTTTTTCAAGGCTCTGTAGAAGGCGTGCACTTTTTTCAAGGTTCTGAAGAAGGCGTGGACTTTTTTCAAGGACCATAGGCAGGGATTTTTTCAAGGCTCTGAAGAAGGCGCGGATTTTTTTCAAGGCTCTGAAGAAGGCGTGGATTTTTTCCAAGGCTTTGAAGTAGGCGTGGTTCTTTTCCAAGGCTCGGAAGAAGGCGTGGTTCTTTTCCAAGGCTCGGAAGAAGGCGTGGAATCTTATTCAAAGCTGTTAAAAAGGCGTGGATTTTTTTAAGGCTCTGAAGAAGGCGTGGATTTTTAAGGCTCTGAAGAAGGCGTGGATTTGTTAAGGCTCTGAAGAAGGCGTGGATTTTTTTAAGGCTCTGAAGAAGGCGTGGATTTGTTAAGGCTCTGAAGAAGGCGTGGATTTTTTTAAGGCTCTGAAGAAGGCGTGGATTTGTTAAGGCTCTGAAGAAGGCGTGGATTTTTTTAAGGCTCTGAAGAAGGCGTGGATTTGTTAAGGCTCTGAAGAAGGCGTGGATTTTTTTAAAGAAAATATTTTTCAAGGAGCATAGGCGTGGATATTATTTCAAGGCTCTGAAGAAGGCGTGGATTTTTTTTTTCAGATATCTGAAGAAGGCGTGGAATCTTTTTCAAGGCTGTTAAAAAGCCGTAGATTTTTTTAAGGCTCTGAAGAAGGCGTGGATTTTTTAAGGCTCTGCAGAAGGCGTGGATTTTTTTGAAGAAAATGTATTTTAAGTCACTGAAGGATTTTAGGCGTGGATTTTTTTAAAGAAAATATTTTTCGAGGCTCTGAAGAACCTTAGGCGTGGATTTTTTTAAAGAAATGTATTTTAAGTCACTGAAGGATTTTAGGCGTGGATTTTTTTAAAGAAAATATTTTTCAAGGCTCTGAAGGACCTTAGGCGTTGATTTAAAAAAAAAAAAAATTTCAAGGCTCTGAAGAATCTTAGGCGTGTATTTTTTTAAAGAAAATATTTTTCAGGGACCATAGGCGTGGATTTTTTAAAGAAAATATTTTTCAGGGACCATAGGCGTGGATTTTTTAAAGAAAATATTTTTCAGGGACCATAGGCGTGGATTTTTTAAAGAAAATATTTTTCAGGGACCATAGGCGTGGATTTTTTAAAGAAAATATTTTTCAGGGACCATAGGCGTGGATTTTTTAAAGAAAATATTTTTCAGGGACCATAGGCGTGGATTTTTTAAAGAAAATATTTTTCAGGGACCATAGGCGTGGATTTTTTAAAGAAAATATTTTTCAGGGACCATAGGCGTGGATTTTTTAAAGAAAATATTTTTCAGGGACCATAGGCGTGGATTTTTTAAAGAAAATATTTTTCAGGGACCATAGGCGTGGATTTTTTAAAGAAAATATTTTTCAGGGACCATAGGCGTGGATTTTTTAAAGAAAATATTTTTCAGGGACCATAGGCGTGGATTTTTTAAAGAAAATATTTTTCAGGGACCATAGGCGTGGATTTTTTAAAGAAAATATTTTTCAGGGACCATAGGCGTGGATTTTTTTAAAGAAAATATTTTTCAAGGCTCTGAAGAACCTTAGGCGTGGATTTTTTTAAAGAAAATATTTTTCAAGACTCTGAAGAACCTTAGGCGTGGATTAACAAAAATGTTTCAAGGCTCTGAAGAACCTTAGGCGTGGATTAAAAAAAATGTTTCAAGACTCTGAAGAACCTTAGGCGTGGATTAAAAAAAATGTTTCAAGGCTCTGAAGAACCTTAGGCGTGGATTAAAAAAAATGTTTCAAGGCTCTGAAGAACCTTAGGCGTGGATTTAAAAAAATATATATTTTAACGCTCTATAAAATATAAAATATTTTTCAAGGCTATGTTTGAAGGCTCTGAGGACGATTTTAATGGATTATTTAAAAAAATATTTGTCAAGGTCCTTGAGGACCATAGGAGTGGATTATTAAAAGAATATATTTTTTAAGGCTGTGAGGGGCCATAGGCGTGGATTATTAAAAGAATATATTTTTTAAGGCTCTGAGGGGCCATAGGCGTGGATTATTAAAAGAATATATTTTTTAAGGCTCTGAGGGGCCATAGGCGTGGATTATTAAAAGAATATATTTTTTAAGGCTCTGAGGGGCCATAGGCGTGGATTATTTATAGAAAATATTCTCCGAGCCTTTAAAGTATTTTCTTTATAAAATATTTTTCAAGGATCATAGGCGTGGATTTTTTTTAAAGAAAATCTTTTTCAAGGCTATGAAGGAAAATGTTATTCTTTTGGATGTCATCATTGTTGTCCCTTGAGCACACACACACAAAATTGTCAACACATTTGATTAGGGCCAAATAATGGTTATTTCACTTCATCGATTTTATTTATGTAAAACAAAAAACAACTACAACAAATTTGTCACTTGACTGATGAATGAGAAAAACCCGGGTTTCCTATGTCAATAAGGACACAGGCAATGACCAACCAGGATATTCACTCGTTTATCTTTATGTCCAATATTTAGTATGAGTTTCCAGACATGCAAATTCTCAATACATTTGTGTATAATTATTATTATCCATCATAGAAAGTCGACATTTTTATAAGGGATAAATGGCAAAATAAGTCACATGCGAAGCTATAAAGCCCTGAAGGGTATTAAGAGTTGAGTTTTTACAAATATTTTTACAGACTTTGAAAGGTCATTGGCGTTTAAGATTCTGTGGAACCTGGGTTTTTAAAAATATTTTTTCATGGCTCTGAAGATGGCGTGTGACATGAACTCTTTTTGTTATAATTTCGAGGCTGAACTAAACTATAAATTTCGGGTATATATGGTAATATTCTTCTTGTACTCACCTTATTCAAGAGACGCATACGCCTCTGGGCCGATCTAACCATAGCACAAAATAATGATATGGTCACCGAGATGCCCATTACCTCAGCCACCGAAATAAAAATCAAACATGGCGATGGATAGACACTAATCGAATTCAGACAATAAATACAAATCACTGTGATGGTGCAATCGAACAATGCCACCATACTCAACACAAATATGACATATTGTAAAATTTGCGAGTAGTCCAAACTGACATTTATCCGATCGAAATGTCTATCGACTTCCAAGTAAAGATTAAAAGACTTCTCCAAAGTCTTTTTTCGAATTATGGCGACTACGGGCAATACAGTTGCACCCACAATACCACTGCAGACATGCAAATAATTTCCATATTTCGATACTTTCGTACTCAACAAATAACCGACCACGGATTCATGATGATGCATGGTGTAGGCATAACAATAGGCCATCAAAATGACATGAACCACCAGATTTAAATAACCAAAATAGGAAGTTTTTAAAATTTTCCCGCCATTCGGAAGGCTGACAATGCGAAAGGGTGTAACACCGGACACGAAGGTTGTACAAAACATCGGCTGCATTGATTTGTAATAACTGTTCGAGGTGAATAGTTTGCGAAAGAGGCGTTTATGCCACGGCAATTTTTGAACCGACACGAACAACGGCATTTTTACAATTGAAAGACGGAATGTTCGCCAGTGCCACATTGTTTGGTTAATGTGATGTCCCTTTGGGCAACATTATCATTGAATAATAATCTTTATTGAATCAGGTCATTTTGATCTAAATATTATTGTAATTAATTAATACTTGATTGTTTGTTATTTTTTTTATTTTTGGAATTTCAAACAAAGGTCAAGATTAGGATGAGTAGATTTCCTAAAATGTGTTGTCAAGCCTCTGAAGGTGTGGATTAAAACATGTTTCGCACGGCTTAATATATAAACATATTTTTTCAAGGCTCTGAAGAAACGTGGATTTTTTTAAAAATATTTTTTAAGGCTTAATAGAGGGGTTCTTTCAAGGCCCTGAAAGAGGTGTGAATTTTTTAAAGGCTCTGAAAGAGGCGTGGATTTTTTAAAGGCCCTGAAAGAGGCGTGGATTTTTTAAAAATATTCTTTCAAGGATCTGAAAAGGAGTGGATATTTTAAAAATATTCTTTCAAGGATCTGAAAGAGGTGTGGATCTTTTAAAAATAGTCTTTCAAGGCTCTGAAAGAGGCGTGGATTTTTTAAAAATAGTCTTTTAAGGCTCTGAAAGAGGCGTGGATTTTTTAAAAATAGTCTTTTAAGGCTCTGAAAGAGGCGTAGATTTTTTAAAAATAGTCTTTTAAGGCTCTGAAAGAGGCGTAGATTTTTTAAAAATAGTCTTTTAAGGCTCTGAAAGAGGCATGGATTTTTTAAAAATAGTCTTTTAAGGCTCTGAAGGAGGCGTGGATTTTTTAAAAATAGTCTTTTAAGGCTCTGAAAGAGGCGTGGATTTTTTAAAAATAGTCTTTTAAGGCTCTGAAGGAGGCGTGGATTTTTTAAAAATAGTCTTTTAAGGCTCTGAAAGAGGCGTGGATTTTTTAAAAATAGTCTTTTAAGGCTCTGAAAGAGGGGTGGATTTTTTAAAAATAGTCTTTTAAGGCTCTGAAAGAGGCGTGGATTTTTTAAAAATAGTCTTTTAAGGCTCTGAAAGAGGCGTGGATTTTTTTAAAAATAGTCTTTTAAGGCTCTGAAAGAGGAGTGGATTTTTTAAAAATAGTCTTTTAAGGCTCTGAAGGAGGCGTAGATTTTTTAAAAATAGTCTTTTAAGGCTCTGAAAGAGGCGTGGATTTTTTTAAAATAGTCTTTTAAGGCTCTGAAAGAGGCATGGATTTTTTTAAAATAGTCTTTTAAGGCTCTGAAAGAGGAGTGGATTTTTTAAAAATATTCTTTTAAAGCTCTGAAAGAGGCGTGGATTTTTTAAAAATATTCTGGATTTTATTAATCATTGATACTTTGTTGTTGGGCTTTTTTGGCCAGGTGTTTGATGAAAATAAAAAACTGGCTTTTATTTCATATTTTGCTCGACGTTTCGTTGGCTTTTTTCCAACATTTTGTTGAAAATATTTCTTCAAGGCTCTGAAGAAGGCGTTGATTTTTTTAAAAATATTTTTTAAGGGTTCTGGCACAATAGCAGAATGGGATTAATTGGCAATATTTGACCTTTTAAAATGAGCACAGCGTTTCTTTGCAAACCTCTTCCTTCTGAAAATGTCCCCATTTATTTATAACATATATATCGAAAATGTCTGAAGTAATTAAGTGCAGTATCATCGTCGCCATCTTCTTCCATTAATAATCAATTTTGCTGTACGCACCTTAGATTAGACTTACTGACCTACTAGACAGACACGTACTTATACTTGTGACATACACACGCACACACACACACATAGTTCAATGTCAAGTGAATAGTTTTTTCTGGTTTTTCAATTATTTTCAAAATAATATTTTTTAAAGCAGATGCAACATAAAAAATAATTCATTGATGGTGATTTTTTAGAATGTTGTATTTTGCTGCTGCTGCTGTTGTTGTTAGTTTTAAACTGGATTCTGCTACATTTTCAGATTTTTACAATGACATTGAAATTGAAGATGAACACTCAACATCAGCAGCAGCAGCAATTACAAAACAAATTGAACTTGAAATACAAAATTGATGAGTTGAAATAAATGTATTTTTGTGTTGTTGTTGTCATCGTTGAACAACATAAATAATTTTCGTTTAATTAACCGAATGTGTGTGTGTGTGTGGTTGTCGAATCACTGACTATTCTTGGTTAATTAGTGCATCTGTGAGACACGCATGCGCACCTGAATGCATTATCAATGATAAGTGAGCTAAGTGGTGGCATGTTTTATTCAATTAGATGGTTATTAGTTGATAATGAAATCAAATTGGAATAATAGGGAAGCAGAATACGTAATACCCTACATCCCTTATGGCTAAATTATAAGACAAATAGGTACATATAAACAGCACGGGTAGTATCAGCGTCTTGTAAAGTTTGAGTTTAGTCTGGCGGGAGGTGGCCTTGTTTGTAAACTGCTTACTTAGACCATAGTAGCATCCGTTGGCCATCACAATCCTTCTCCGAATTTCAAAACTGATGTCATACGTTTTATTTATGGCGGTGCCAAGGCTGTTATCGCTCTTGGTTTTCCGTCCAATATGTCGATGTCATCGGCCTAGGCGAATAACATGTGTTGTTTGGTGTACCGAGTGTCATTTCACTTTTCACTTTTGCCTCTCGTATGATCTTTTCCAGAAGGATGTTAAAAAGGACACACGACAAACTGTCACCTTGTCTGAATCCTCGTTCGGTATTGAAGGGCTCCGATAGGTCCTTTCCGACTTTAAATGCTGATCTTGTGCCAGTTAAAGTTATCCTGCATAGCCGTATTAATTTTGCAGGAATGCCAAACGCAGACATGGCTTTAAACACCTCTGAAGAGATAGGGCTGTCGAATGCGGCTTTATAGTCGACGAATAGGTGGTATGTGTCGATGTGTTTTTCGTGCGTCTTTTCCAGGATTTGGCGCAGAGTGAAAATTTGGTCAATAGTGGATTTGCCAGGTCTGAAGCCGCATTGGTATGGTCCAATAATGTCATTGACCATTGGATTCAATCTTAACACAGCACACTGGATAGCACTTTATATGCAATAGGATGTAGGCTAATTCCTCTATAGTTGGCACATATCGCCTTGTCTCCTTTTTTGTGCACGGGACACAGGATGCTGAGGTTGCAATCGTTGGGCATGCATTTCTCTAGCCAAATTGTACTAATCCTGACCAACATCTAACCACCAGTCTTGAATAGTTCGGCTGGTAACCCATCGGCACCTTCTGCTTTATTATTCTTTAGTCGATTAATTGATATTTTGACTTCATCATAACGTCATCTAATATTGGTTCTGGGTATCCTCTTCACCGCTACTATTTGATACCAGAAGTTTTTTAAAATGCTCCTTCCAGATCCTCAGCACGCTGTCTGTATCTGTCACCAGGTTTCCTTCTTCATCTCTACACGAGAATGTGCCTGCACTAAAGTCTTTGGTTTGGTGTTTTACTCGTTGGTAAAATTTCCGGATTTCATTCGACTCCTGTACATCTCGATTTGCTCACGATCACGTTTTTCTTGTTATTTCTTGTTTTTTTTTCTCCTGATAATTCTACATCACATTACGTGCGCTACTGTCTGCAGGATTGCCCTATACGCTGCCTTTTTCATATTATTAGCATTACGACACTTCTGATCGTACCACGGATTTCTTGATGGTGGTCTTTGGTACCCAAGTGTTGCTTTTGCTGCAGTTTGTAGGGAGTGGGCAATCAATCAACCTTATGCCGTTGTCGGATGTTTCATCATGAAGGCTGAATTTTCCGACGGTGGGGCCAAAGATGTTTCCCCTTCCAATTTTTGCATTAAAATCACCTAGCAGATTTTTAAAGTCATGGCCAGGGCAGCGATCATATGCTGTTCATAGGCGCTCGTAAAATATGTCTTTGGTCTGTTCATCTTTGTCTTCCGTCGGAGCATGTGCGCAAATGAGACTGATGTAGAAGAAATTCGCTTTTATACGGATTATAGCAATTCGCTCATCTATTGTAGTGAATCTGGAGACGAGGTTTTTTATTCTCCTGTTAACCATAAATCCGCAGCCAAATTCACGTCTCGTTTCATGGCAGCTATAATACAGGGCGTAATCATCTGATTTACTTACGTCAGTCCCTTTCCATCGCATTTCCTGTAAGGCTTTGTACTTCTTGAGTACATCCGCCAAAGCGAAAACTCCGCCTGTTCTGTAAAAGGTGCGCGCATTCCAAGTGCAGATTCGCAGATCGTCGTCCTTTATATGTTTGCGGGGGTCGTCAACATAAGGTGGGTTTGGTTTTCTTTTTCTTTGCTTTTTCATAGTAGGTTCGGTTTTCCGAGTGTGGGCAACTAACCCGACGCCTCAACCCATTTTTTTATAGTTCTTATGGATGAACTTGCGGCACATATTAGCTCCCTATTTCAAATGGGGAAGAAAAAATAGCTACCCCAGGTGACACCGAGGGGAGGTCACTGTCACAATTGAGATGAAAGAGGCACAAAGATAAGCCTGGACTTCGCCATGTTAAAGCCAATCAGAGCCGTTGATTGGTATGTATTATCCCCTAGCCACCTTTTTTTAGATCTACGCCTTGAAAACATATATTTTATAAATATAAGCCTTGAAAAAAATATATTTTCTTAAAAATCAAGGCTTTGAAAAAATATTTTTTAAGACTACACCTTAAAAAATTTAACGTTTTTTTAATCTACACTTTAACGAGAAATTTTAAAAATCTACGCCTTGAAAAAAATTTTTTAAAAAATTGTACGCTTTGAAAAAAAATATTTTTTTAAAAATCTACGCCTTGAAAAAAATATTTAAAAAAAAATCTACGCTTTGAAAAAAAAATATTTTTTAAAAATCTACGCCTTGAAAAAAATATTTTTTAAAAATCTACGCCTTGAAAAAAATATTTTTTAAAAATCTACGCCTTGAAAAAAATATTTTTTAAAAATCTACGCCGTGAAAAAAAATATTTTTTTAAAAATCTACGCCTTGAAAAAAATATTTTTTAAAAATCTACGCCTTGAAAAAAATATT